ACCTCGACTGCCAACAATGTTGGTATGACTGAATGTGTGTTTGTGCGTGTGCGCCGGGGGACTTGTAAGTTGGCTCTTCCGTTTGTGTTCTTTTCGTAACGTCAGTATAGTGACTGGCTTAGGAGTGGGTGACCGGGGTTCGATCCCTGACAGGGGCAGAGGATTTTTCCCCTAGCCTCTACATCCAGACCTGTTCTGGGGCCCACCCAGCCTCTTATCCAATGGGTACCGGGGTCCTTTCCCGGGGGGTAAATCGCTACCTGGGCGTGACGCTGACACTCACCCCCCAAGCACTTGCATGACATACTGGGACAGCTTTATTTTTGCTGAGCCCAGTAAGGTTCTTTTTCATGTGAGAGTCATGACATCGAACTCCATGACTTTTGCTACCGTGAACACTTGTGCCAACCAAGGTTGAATGAGGTCATCCACGGCAACCGAGGTTGTGCCCGAAAACACGAAGTCGGCACGAGTGGTCTGACCATTCGGCTACCTGATTGAAGTTTTCCATGCTTTACCTCAGTTGTAAAGCAATCCCCTATCATGGAGGCCATCAGCCAAAGCGAACCCGCCCCTGCTGGGTTCAAATCCCAGAGAGCCATCCAACCAAAATCCTTTTCACAAACGTAAAGTTGCCTGATGAGATAACTGTCCACCAGTAGCAATAAATAGCACCTTGTCTGAAAAAGTCAAGGCCGTTTTCGCGCAGTTTACTCATCGCCGTGATGACGGAAGCAGGAACTCTGAAACATGGTAAACTTCTACCAGACCATATGGCGCTACAACCCAGAAGACAACCATCTTCGTTCTCACGGCCTTGATAACTTCAAATCGTACAATGTGGGGAGTAACCACATAAGCCCCTAAGAATGCATTATCCCTCCCCATTGTAAAAAATGTTCCTTTTTATATCAATTTCAGAAGAATGATATGGACGATATAAAATAAACAAAAACAGTAAATATTCTAATAAAATATTTTCCATTAATGTTGTTTTTATTTTCATATCAGCATGAACAGTTTGTTTATTAGAGGTCATTTTACATTAATCTTATAGAATATATGTATCAGACAATGATAATTACTGAATATTTAATTTTGATATGAAGCAATATATTGCACTTTGGGAAAGCTATAGAATTGTATTGTAAATTTACTGATGCTTTAGCTGCTTATTTTGGATAAATTATAGGGTGAACATTATTTCTTTGTAGCAGTAGTATCTTCCGAGTATATAATAGGCTCAAAAATAAGTATAAATCTAATACATTGATGTATTACAAAACATGGTTCTACTACATTTCCAGAATAAAATCCCTGATATTATAAGAAATACAAAGTCTTATTTGTTGCACACTAATAAGTAATTACATATCAGGGATATCTTTCATATTTCAATTTTTTTCATAACCCAGTGAAAGAAGGTAAGAATTGAAAAAGACAGTCCAAGTGGAAGAGATGAAACCTGGATCCATTCCCACAAACTGCAGCATGCAAGAAAGTAAACAAATGCATGTAATTTAGGAGGCATGCAACATAGAAAAATCATACGTCACGATATGCATTGTTGAAATATTAACATAAACTGATCTGTGATTGTTACTCAACCTGAAACTAAGTAAACTGTATGTGAATACAAGGTAAACACTGTGAAACTAGGATTTCATTTGAGGGGATTTGAAAATAAGGGTCAAATACATTAAAGGCAAGGCACTAAATTAAGAAGTAGGAGACCAAAACTTCTTGTTGTGCTTCACTGAAACCAGTTTCTTCTCTACAAAGAGTACTCAGAAACCATGCAACAGTTCAAAACGTGTACCGCTATGAAATGACAAGTCGGAAAAGCAGAAGTTGGTAGTGTCTGTGACAAAAATAAAGGTGATATGGGAAAGAACACAGAAAAGTGTTGCTCACGTAGCCAAAGCATTACTTCAGATTCCAAAAAAAATTTTGGTTACTCCCAGTCACTTTGTATCAAAATAAAATCAACCCACCATAACGGAACAGGATTTGACATTAGAAAATCCAAGTGGTACGTATGTTCACACTGCAACCAATGAGCAACAAAGACACGAGTTTAGTCAGGACTTTTTACATTTCTTCATAACAGACAATAAAAATTTAACAAGACCTAATGATCAAATTCCATTTGTATTATACATAGAGGAAACCAATCGCAAGCATGTGATAAAACTCAACCCCACAATGTTTTTGACGTAAATACGTCTATAAGGAAGGGCCATTCGGCAAAAAAGGGAAACGAAAAAGCGTAACTGCATTGTTATGTTACCTAGGAAACGTCATCTGTTTACTCGGCATTGCTGTGTTACATTACTGCCGTCAACAATCCGCTTTCGTTATTGCGGAAAGAGCCGAGCTGTGATTCGCTTGTAGAAGAAGTGCGTCGTGGAGTTATGTCACGTTTATGGAGGAAACGTTTGGCTTAATGTTGATGTCAAATCCTAGATCAAAATCTTGTATAGATATGGTGTTTGCACGAAATGTTGATACTCTAAAGTGCACAAATTTTATAACATATTTCAGCTACCACAGACCCATTTTACGCGTAACTAATTGAAGTTGATTAAGCAATGTCTTAATCAAAATTTACTCAATTGTAAAGCACGTATAAAGGAAATATTTAGAATAAAGCCAAAATATAAACTTCCTTTCCGTATAGACGTATTTACGTCACATTCTCCGGAACCGTCGTTCCACTATCACTTTTTTACAATACTGTGCCACACTTTATAATGAAAACAGTTACCTGATACCAGGAAATAATTTGTTATTGCCATCAGTATTTGGCAGTAACTACCTATCTTATGTCTGTGAGCAGCAGTTCGGCTTCATTAAGAATGCGAAAGGAATTAGGACCACACAGATGACTACATGGAGGAGGGATGCATGCAAATTGCAACAAATAAATAAAAAAAATATTAAAATATTACTGAAGCAAAAGCAGTTTCACGTTTCTCACCAACTGTCAATTTTGTTAAAGAAAATTACTGAGTGATCTGTGAATCTTTTTGCAACAGTAGACCTAATTTATTACCATATTAATAAAGTACAATGTTGTTTCAGTAAATTTGCGTCATATATAACCTAGTGGTCCTCAGGTCACTGACAAAGGATAAATATGAAGCCAGGTTTGGAAAAGGCTGAGAGCCCGAGAGATAAACTGTCATGCCACATTATGTGTAACGTCTGCTATAAAACTTCCAAGATTTTGTGTAGGGTGGTAAAATGTGGACTGGATTTTCTTGAGGCATTTGAAACACCCTATAACTTGTCATAATCCCTATCTCATGCGTCAGCATGATTTTCAGTTAGTAGTTAAAATTAAATTAAATCCGTGTCGTAACAGCTCCAGAGAGCCAAAGCCGACTAGCTTGACTGCTGGCCTCACGTTCACGTGCCTAAGCAGAGGTGAACGATCATCCAACCAGATATAGGCTGACGTGTGGTCAGCACGACGAACCCCCAGCCATTGCTAGTTTTCCTGATCGGATTACGCTACTTATCGTAGCTCCCCAATTTCCTCACGATGTTGGGTTGGCACCGGTCCCATACACCGGTCGAAAATCTCATGAGAAATTTCTTTCCTGAGACTCGAACCAGCGCGCATTCTGTATCACCAGTCCGAAGCATGATGCCTCAGACCGCGCGGCTACGGCGCGGGACTTTTCAGTAGTAGTAGATAGGTAAATATTTGAATGATTTATTGTAAATGATGTGGATGAAGCAGTCAAAGGCCTATTTTAAGATATTGTCCAAGAATTTTCATGGAATCACTAAGAAGCACAATCAAAATCAAGAAAGCTATCCTCTGGGCCCAGATTTTAATTTTCAACCTCCAAGATAAGAAGCACGGCTCTTAAATTCTCTACCATTAGTAAAATGTGCGTTTTAATCGGACAACTGGCTCCCGCAACCCTAGCTGATATCAACACGCTGCTTGATGTCATGATAAAGATGGGCCTGCATCCCAAGTCTCATATTACTGACTATTTCTCGAGAGCACGGGAGAAAAATATGCCCTTCTTTTCCCCCAGGGGTGAGCATGCAGCATAAAGTCATTTTGACACCCAGATAAGTGCTCTGAACAGAAGAATTTGTAAATGTATAGCACAGTTATTGCCAGTAGTGGCATACGACGTGCTGAATGTATAATATTTTTACTATATAGTCTCTCGACTACAGTTAAATGACCAGAATTTACCTAGGACATTTAATTACAATCGTAAAACTTGTTTTCAAAAATTAAAACACAAAAGTAATTGTGCTGACTAAGATTAAGCAGAGATAAATTTATGGGGAAAGTGAAAAAAAGTTTTAGTGGGTATTTGAATGATACGACGGGCTCCAGTAAAGGGAATGTTGGTGACTGTTGTGAACATGGCAATGTACCTTTTGGGGTCTATAAAAAGTTATAAATTTCTTATAAGCTTCTTTATATGCTGGCAGTGAATGTGCTAATATATAGGCTAGCGAAGTCTAACTCAACTTCATTCAGTTTACAAAAGTTGCCTTTTTGTGCATGAATTGCAAAGTGGCAGTCATTGTGGAAAATCACAATTATTTACATACAACTTCAGTAAATGCATAGTAAATATGTACTCTCCTACAAATAAAATTAACATATAATATAATAATAATATAACTTGTATTTGTTTCAATGTCCCAGAGATCAAAGAGCGGTATTTCCCGCAGAAAGAAATACTCCTCGTCTAGGAAGCTCAGAACAATATATGGAATGAAGGGTGCCTGAGTAACTACACAAATGCCAAAATAATAGGCAAATGAATATTATTTACTCATTGGACTGGTCTGATATGTAGAAGGCTGTTGTAATGGGAAGGATTCCTGACTCCGTGACGACAACCGCTTTGGTAGGTCGGTCCTCTGAATCAGTTTCAACTTGCTCAATCTTGTGGACAACATCCTGGCCGCCAACTACCTGCAACAGCAATCGAGAAAAATACGCTTTTTTCAGACCAATATATCGAGTGACTGAAATCAGTGACTCACTTTCCTTGTTATGCATTTAACTAAATTAAGAACACAAAAATCTTCCAGTAAAGGAGATTGCGGGGGGGGATTGAACTGGAATAGAGTAATTTCAAAACCATGATCCAGTACATAAAACATCCTGTACTACAGTGACCAAAATACAGGTCTTGCGTTTTCCATACATTTGTACAATTCTGTTTTCACACTTCTGAGTGTAGTCTTCTTCTTCTGCTATGGCTCTCCGGTCCGTATTCGGTCCATGGCCTCCTCAATTCACCTCTTCCATTCGGTCCTACTGTTAGGTCCATTCTATCCGAGGCTTTGATTGAGGTTTCGAAACATCTTCCTTTTTACGGCGCAAGGTTGTTAGCCTTGCGACCAACCCCCAACCTGGAGGACCAGGGTACCTGTCTTAGTCTGACCTCTCCTCCTCGACCAATCTGGCTAGGGAGGCCCTACCAGTAGCTATGCTACCGCCACTGAGGTACTCGAGCCCCACCACCACGAGAAGGTGCAGGTACCATTAAGTGGGGCTTCTGAGTGTAGTACTGAAGAAAAATATCAAAAGAGACATGACTAAGAGACAGGCCAAATAGAAATAAGCTTAATTCCAATTGAAGCTAAGGATAAATCTGCAATAAGTTCATGCTGCCTTGCACGTTCAACCAACACTTCTGTAATTTCAAAAAATAATGTTAAGGGAAATATCAAAGGATTCTTGTTGAACAATAATAATCCGACGTCAACGCACGTAGGACCCATGAACGTACAAGAGTCATGAGAGAGTGAATTAAGACATTTTTTTAAGTTTATACAATAGCGCGTTATTCTGATTCTTGTGTAATAATCTTTTTCTTCAGATTCTGTAAAAGAAAATGTTAAGACAATTTGTTATTGATGTTTTCTTGATTTATTTTTCAGCATATCATCTTTTTATACCTAAATCATTGATCATGGTTATGAATGATGAGTTTAAGGATGTGGAAATATATATTTTTATAATTCTTTGTAATATCCCACAATCTCAGAATTTGCTTGCGAAAACAAAAGAAAACCACGTAAACAACCTGGCGAGACTTGAAGCAGAGAAGTGCTAACCTCTACATCATAACATCTGGTGTTATTGGTGTTGGTGAGCTTATGAAATTCATACCTTGCCAAAAATAGTATGATGACCATCAAGCCACTTAGTTGCCACTGTGGTGATGAAAAACTGGCAGCCATTAGTGTCTTTTCCTGAAAAACAGAAAATTACTGTTTCTAATAGCAGTTGCAAGTGACTACATAGTACTTCTACATCCACCATTATTCTTCTTCTTTTTCCGGTTCAACGTCTGTACATTTTCCGGTACCCTTTTACGGGTCCCCAACTTTTTCAGTTGGCTTGATCTATGGACATTCGGTAGGACTCCTTGGACGAGCGATCGGCCCGTCGCAAGGCCTCTACCTGTACAAAGGACAGCACAACACAGAAAAGCATCCATGACTTAAGTGGGATTCAAACCCACGGTCCCTGTGACCAAGTGGCACAAGACCCACGCCTCAGACCGTGCGGCCACTGCGGACCCCACATCCACCATCATTAAAATAAATATTAATCTAAACATGTTAATTACAGTATACATGACATTCACGGTACAATGTTTCAATGCTATAATGTTACTGGAATATATTCAATTTTAGATAATATAAATCCACTTACCTGCATTTGCCATGCTGAGGAAACCAGGCGCAGTGTGTTTTATTTCAAAATTCTCGTCAGGGAAATATTTTCCATAGATGCTTATAGAACCAGAACCATCATGTTTGATAATGTCTCCACCTGAAACATAGAAACAGATCCGTAAACAGGGCACTCACAAGCTACCCAAGAAACATTTAAACTGTATAATACGGAGGAGAGCATGTAAGAATAAACCCATTACCTTACAGTGTTTTCAAATAAAAGGTAAATTATGTGGATTTATATTTAATGTTCCTTAATTGTTAATCAGTGAGTTTCCTGTAACACCAACACCCACGTGAAGTCTCAGACACCACCCAAGTTTTGGCACTTACGACTCCAGATGTGTTTGGCATACAAGAGAACTTTACATGTAGCACTACATATCTTACATGGCATGGCTACAGTGGTTAATTTCACTGATCAAATCTCATGGACAAACAGGTGTAGACAAATTCTGTAGCATGACCTCAGTATAACAAAATAAGTCACTGACCTTGTATCATAAATTTTTTGATCACACGATGAAATTCTGTGTTGGCATAGGTTTTGCCGTCAATACCGTCCGATGCGATCGTCAGAAAATTCTTCACAGTTTTCGGAACGACATCTCCAAATAATCCAAGAACGATTCTTCCAACGTGTTCACCGCCGATGCTTATATCAAAATACACTTGGTCTGTGACTTTGTACTTTGCAGCCTGTGAAACACAAATCATTTATTACGACACATGCGATTATAAACGTAAAGTTGCCTCTAGGTACCTAATGAAACACCACACCATGCAGATGTATGGGAGACTGGAGGTACACTCCATGCATTCTTAACCTCAGTACTAGACGGAAGCGAGCGGTTGTCTTCGTACCCCAGCCATTTTACCTCCCGAAGAAAGCACGCCAGAACCCAGAGGATTGTAGGCTAGGTGGGTCCCAAAACCAGTCTGGATATAATGGTAAATTGACTAGTCATCCAGCTCATAGCCTAGTCATGACACTGACTACAGAATCCCAACTCCTTTTATGTAAGTGGTTACTTCAAAAAGTTTCAGTACAGAAGCAAATATAGCATCGCTGTGGTGAGTAAACTGGAGACTTCTCATGCACGTCCTTACATGCACACATGGTATAACGTTGCAGTGCAAGGAAGGTTTCAAAAGTGGGAAAATATACCACCATGTGCATCAGGCCAACATGAAACTTTTCCAGCAAAAAGGAAAAATGATGACAGAAATTCTGTAGGTGTTTTTGTCATGTGAAACAAATACAGCAGACAAACATCCAAATTTGTGGACACTCACAAATAACCGGAGGGTACATGTGCAGTGGACGAGCCCATAGCATCACAGAATAAAGACAATGCGAGGCGACTGCTGGAGGTTGTGTGTGCTTACCATCATCGGCTGGCAGAGATGATTGTAAAGTCAGATTTTCAGTATACTGTTGCCACAGAGACCTCAGTGGGTCTCTGAGGATGTCAACGCATCATACCAAAAATACCGCTTACGAAGAATGTAGCAATTGCATGAGGATGTTGATGAGCTCAACACATCAGATAATGATCCACACTTTCTGTGAAGGGTTGTAATGGATAACAAAACGCAGTATTTCCTGTAAAATCCCCAAAATAAATGACAATTCTAATACATTCTTCTTTCTGTAATATCACATTGCATATAGCTATATACAGTATGTCATGTATAACCTTTCTCAATTTTTCTGGTAAGGAGATGTATGCAGTGACAAGGAAATTAGCAAAGTATATGTTGATGCCTCTTAAATACACCTTTCTTTAATATCGTGTATGTGGGGCAGAAGTATTTTATTAATTGTTACATAACCTGTTCTTTTGCCCTGGTTTCTTGCCAACCATTTGTATTTATGTTCATCTTTACATCATGTGCTTATAAAATATTATTTACTATTAAATTTCATTAACGTAGCAAAGTCTATCAAGTTTTTAGCATTAAGGTTTATTATAGATTCTCCATTAAACAACAAAAGGAATAAATTATATACTAATCTCCTTAGAAAATAATTAATTACCTGGTCTTGTCCAGATGTTTTCCATGTAGTATTTCAAATTCAGTTAACACTTGTTTTAAAGTCAACTTCATGCAAGTGCAGTGACCCTTATATAACTTAACTTTCTTGATTAAGTCTGCCAGATTTGAACACATTTTTGTTGCTACAGATTTACATTTCATTATTTTAATGAAAATTTCAAATTCATCACAATCTGGTGTGGGAAAATTTCCCAGTTGATGTATATTTTGATCTGTCCCAAAATTCATTAGCTACATGTTTTCAAATCTCATTACCTATTTAGAATATCCTAGAATTCTGTGTATAGCTATCCAGAGCTTTCAAATATACTGTCTTCTTACACCTCAAGCTACTTTATCTCTACTTTGGTTACTTGTAGCTCTTACAGTTCGGTCTGCTTTCTTGGTTCTACTAATTTAAAATTCTTTGAAATTTCAATATTTTCAGATTTTAAACTTGTAGTAAAAACTTCCACATTCCTTTGTTTTTCCTTAACATTAAATTTATTCACTTCTAACATCTGATCTTCTGTTTTTATTTACAATTAAATTTAATATAATTCAACTGTAATCTACATTACATAAAACATGCTTATTACCTAACAATTTTTCACATTTCACTTAATATTAAATAACACTCATAAACCAACCAGGAACATAGTAATCACTGTATTTCCCAGTCACATTAAGCGAGAATCAAATTTGAGTCTGAGAGGTTAGATATTTTTAGGTTATTTAGAAACACTTCAGTAATATTATTCATTTAGATTGTTACTGGTAATAATAAGTTTTTAAAAATAACGAAACGGACAGAAAAAGCAAGGGAGATGATCCTCAGATGATCCCAATGTCTGTGAGCCCCTTACATCAAGGGTGAAAAACCTATACAAGGCCTATGGCCACATTGACCCTTGTTTATCAACTCATGGGCCACAAAATTGTAAATGGGGAAAGAGAATGAAGCTTCATGGCAATTTATTAAAAATACTACTAACTTCTTCCACAAATAGGTACACATGTAACTCAATGATTTCATTTAATAAAATCGGTCATTAATGAGTTAACGAGTGTATTTTAATAGTTTTCGCATTTTTGACGTAAATACGTCTAGGAGGAAGGGTCATTCGGCAAAAAAGTGTTACAAAAAAGGGAAACGAAAAAGTGTAACTTCTTTGTTATGTTACCTAGGAAACGTCATCTGTTTACTCAGCATTGTTGTTGCCTATAAAACATTACATTACATTACCTTACCTTACATTACATTACTTTAAGCATGTATAAAGGAAATATTTAGAATAAAGCCAATATATAAACTTCCTTTCCGTATAGACGTATTTACGTCAAATTCTCCGGAACCGTGGTTCCACTATCACTTTTTAAATGTTTGACATGTTTTATATTTCTTGGCTAAATTCAGTATTACTCTTGATACCTGTCATAGTAGAACAGCCTGCATAGACAGTGGCCTGAATTTGAGCTAATATGTCCAAAACATGTCAGCAAGCCAGGTAAGTGAGTGCATATCGAATAAATTTACAAATATTGTTATGTAAAGATGGTTGCTTAATAATAATATTAGCTAGATTGGTTAATTAAGGTAGGTAGTAAGAAGGAAATTAAACCGACCCTTCAACTTCAATCATATTTTTGTCATTTACGATAATGATGTTCTCGTTTCCAGATGGGGGCAACTTGTTGAAGTTGCAAACTCTTTACTGCCACACTGACATGCGTTTCCATACGTTCCAACATTCAATGACACAGAGTACGCAAAATAAAGGTAGGAAAATAAAAGCGTTTAAAAGCTGTCCGTGGATCAACTGAGGCCCGCGGCGTCTAATCCGGCCTGCGAATGTTTCTGGGACAAAAAAAAATACCTACACCTCAGAACCTTTGGCATATACGCGAAGACAATTTACCGGGTAACTTCATTTATATTAGATACGTGCAGTGTGGACATGAAAGGTTATATGTCTCACTGCTTGTGTTGGGCTTGATTCTGGGGAGTCTGATTTTCAGTAAAAATGTGAATCAAAATCATGTTAATTATAAAAAGTATTAGCAAAATTCCAGCAGTAACAGCCTTGTGCAAGGAACGGGCTGTGATTGGGAAGTCCGGCCCACACATTAAATATGAGATTCTGTTATCGTCATCCCAAGTTGTGACCAGCTTAGAATTCTAGTCCGTGACCTTCACGTTGAGGTCAACCGCCATTACGTCGGGTATCCCCGGCTCAGCCACTCGGTCAGGTCCGACTAAACCACGGGACGTGTGGGCGAAAGATAGGTCGCCATGAGCTTCACTGATCTGGCCTCGATCACAACGTGTATGGCATCATCAAGGCGATGAATTACTCTAATTTATCTCCCTGATGATGGAGGCAGCAAGGACCTCTGAAACGTCGCTAAACTTCTACCAGACTACACGGCGCAACAGCTCAGAAGACAGCCATCTTCAGACTCACCGCTGTGAAAACTTCAAATCCCACGTAGAAAGAATTACCGGAATGCAATCTGTTTTTTGCTGACTTTGTAAATTTAATTGTGATTTATTACTGTAATTCCCAAATATGTGAACTTTGTCACATTTCCGAATAATTTATTAGCCACATTTATATTATGATTTTGTCCTGCGTTCTTGTGACGACACACGAACACATGCTTAGTTTACTTCTGGATCAACCTCCCTGACAACGTTACACAGCTTCATATTATAATTATATTTTCGTCTAATATATGAAGATTGTCGGCAAAGATCAGAAACGGACGTCCTCAATAAATTTCTGAATATCTGTAATATTTATTTATACGAAATACTCACATACAGTTACTCCAAGTATCCAGGATTGAATAGAATTGTATAAAGGCATGAACGAAACACGCCGTGTTAAATCAATAGCTTACTTTGAAAAGAATCATTCCATTGTCCATCCAAATGCACTTATCACTTACCTCAATTGTGGAAAAAGCGAGGCACATTAATAACATGGCACAAGTTTGTCTATGCACTGCTCTTCCTGCCATTGTGTGAAAGTTACTCGTCTTACTGTCCGCTACCACAACGCCTACACAACTCGCTTACCACCAAAGCTGTAACTGCAGTGAACGAACGACCGTCCTCGCTTCTACCACTGTTACAGATCAGCGAAGGCTGGGTTCAAGAAAGGAAGTTACGTCATCGTACCATGTCTGTATACTTCGTCCACGTTAAGTGTGCCTCTCGCCGTAGCGGACAATGCTGGTGGACATGGACAGTGAAATATTAAATTTAGGTTCGTTGCACTTTCAACACCCCACATGGCACTACACAGCCTTGGCCCACTAAACAAAATTGTTTCTGAAAAGCGACTGGCTTATCTTCCCCGCCAGTTTCTTGGCCCCACAACAATTACAAGTTAATTAACCTAAAAGCACCAATCTTCTCGTGTCTAATGCGCATAATATAAACATACGAACCCAAATAACACCATTGTTGATGAAGCTGCCAACAACTGACAATTAATTACCCATGAACATTTAAAGGAGTGATAATGTGGCCAAACAGAACAAAATCTGCCATTAACAATAGCGTTCAGTGGAAGGAGTCAGAGTTAATCCGCGGTTACAGCGATGTCATGGGAGCATGGCTGCTGCTGTTGTTAATCGCATTTCTACTTTGACCGGCCACCAACCAAATCTGAACTAACAAGGTCACTACCAAATCATTGGTGATGATATGAAAGCTCGGGTCATTGAAACAAGTAGGTTTAAATATTCCGAATTTCAGGTTAAACAGAAGAATTCTCATGAAGCTCGGATCCAGGAGCATACCACTGCGTCTGGAGAAGCATGTGGCTTCTTATCGCTGTGTCTATTTTAGATTAAAACAAAAATAAATTGTTCCTTGCGTTAAGTTGTGGACCTTTTTGTAATCGCATGGCTCTGACTACTGAAGATACGTAATGGTAGATTTAAATAATTGTTGATGTGAGTTTCTGTATCTATCTTTATTCACGTGGTACTAAAAATAGGGATAAATATAAGCATCAAGTTTCAAGTGGTTCATCCCTGATAATCTACACGATCCGCGTTATTAAATCATTCGATTTTGATTGGCAAGCACTGAAGTGACATTGTTGAACCCGATTTCCACCAGTCCACAACACTCGAACGAATTATCCATTGACTTCTGCCACCTGAAAAATATCACAGGAGTATCCCTGAGATTCAAAGAAACCTCGTGCAGACTGATTAGGTCCATCGAGTTGATAGTCCCTTTTAAATTCATTCAGTGACAGACCGGACATAGGAACAAGAAACTGCTGACAGGGTTTACAGACGCGACACGTGTATAATAATTGGCTACAAAAAAATGTACAAAATAACAACAGAGATATTTCAATGGCTTCTGCTGATGTCTGAATAGCGAACTGACAACAGCGAGTTGTGATTGGTAGCTTACATTGCGATGTTGCCACATTGAGGAAGAAAAACTCACCCTACCCACGATGCAGATGTTAACACTATCTACTCGCGCCAGAGGCTGAACCCGAAAAGACGACGCGAGTACAGACCTCTTGGAAATCACGGAACCGGTTTCCTCATCATGGCTGCTGGTCATGATATTATGATCAAGTAAATTATTACCAGCAATTGAAGAAAATCATATTCGAAACGAGCGCAGCCATGTTTGTTCAAAGGTACGGCCCTCTGTTAACCAAGTTAAGATTTGGATGCCACAAAACAAATGATAATTTCTAATGTTACAGGCTGGCAACTTCACGACAGCATTATTAAAACATTTTAACATCGTTAAGAGAATACAGACATGGGATCATAAGTTCAGATCGAAAGTGCTGTAACTAAGATAACCCTTGGACTTATGGCTGGGTGCAGTGCTAGACGCTTGTACGCGTTAATTATTTTGCAGATGCAAACCTTTCGATCTAAATCGTGTTTTGGACTTTTTATAAACCTCATTCCAGGAAATATTTTTTCACAATTGTGCGTGCGACCAAATAAAGAAACTTTCTTCTTACCAAACTTCTTCAACTGAGGGAAATATTTGGGAAGCGATTTGTAAAAATTTACCAAGAAGATGGAATCAGTCAGTACTGTGTCAGACTATGGACTGGATGCCCGGGGTTCAATTCCCGACGGGGGCAGAGCATTTTTCTCTAGCCTCTGCGTCCAGGGCCCACCCAGCCTCCTGTCCGATGGGTACCGGAGGTAAAGCATCTAGTGTCGAGGTTAAGAATGAGTAGGAGCTTTACGACCTCTCCCCCAAGCGCCTACATGGCGTGTAGCGAGACATCTTTACCTTTTTATAGTAAAGATTCGTATATCCATTGCAACTTCAGAAGCTCCGCTTGAAAATTCTCTAGCACATTTTGAAGTTCGATACTGAAAACAGCTGAGAAGATCTGTGCATAATCATAATGAAGTAAAATTCGCAGAAACTGGCGACGATACAACGCCCTTCATCTTATGCAGTTGAAGCCCGCACTCAAGATGCGTAAATGAACACGGATTGTCGGCTTGAGGCAATTACGAGAAGTACGAGTTTGATCGACTCCTTTTGTTTTAGAAGAATTACTGCCCCTTGAATGTCTCCGAAATGTCTGGATACAAAATGTCGCCGACAACATTGAAACAACAACCGAATAATTATTTAGCATTGCTGAGATCAGTTTCGAATCTGTCGTCTTCAACTGCAGGAAATTTGGCAATGCCGCGAACATGAGAAAGTGATCCGACATCGATTCTTTACCATCTGAGTGGTATTTTGACTCATAAATTAAACAATGGTCGGGAATGACGGTCTTCATTCCAAAATTGAAGAACACTGGCTTCACATTTAACGAGCAATTCCTTCACGCATTCCTACGGCTTCATCGGGGCTGGCATGACGTCACTTGTGTGAACTGTTGCTACCGACTAAACCCATGCTCTGATCAGCTGATATGCCCCTCCCCTCTCTAACTTGCGACAGCTGCGTTCGAAGTTCATTCTGCTTACATTTCGCTTTACGAACCAGTCTGACTTACTGTTGACACTGCAAATCTGTTCTTTCCTTCAATATATTATTTTCCTCAGTCACATCTTTTCGAAATTGGTTCATTTCCTCTACTGCTGTGTTGCAAGCATCTACCATGACTTTTATTCTTTCTTCAAGGTCCGAAATGTAGTAATGGATCCCTGCTTGAAATATCTGGAGTGTCTAGTACGCATCAGAAACACGTTACCACCACCGACTGCCTCGTTTTCCATCTGTGGACAAAAACTTCTGACCTGCAGACACCCATTTTCGAAAGCCAGATGCATACTCGCAGGAAAAATGAGGTTTTTGCAATTTTTCAAACAGAGGGCGTAGAAAGGCATTTACTCCACAGCGCACCAGGACACAAGAAGATGAGTGACGTCACCACACCTTTAAATGTCCTCTCTCTCCAATCCAGGCTATAGAATTTCCCTGGATGGACATTGTCACAGGAGTCAAGAATTGCGTAATACACATTCTGACAATACACAAGAAAATGTGATGCTCTACAGACTATTGTTAGGTAAATAAAATAAAGAGAATTTAAAAAATATATTTTATACACTTACAATCGGCAATTCGTTGGTCCCCGCGATTGATGTGTACAGTCATCTCTGCTGTTATGCGATAGTTGCATTCATGTAAGACGCCGACCTATTGAAAATCGCGTAGTAAAAATAACCCCGGTAACTCCGCAGAGATTAAATTAGTCCTTTGAAATTTTAAAGCGCCAGGAATAAAATTGCATAAGAGCAAACTCACATATGCAAAAGTTTGCATTTCACAAACAGATTTTACCGATTCATCGATCTCATTGGAGCAAATTCGCGTTAACGAAACACACGTAATTGCAGAGATGACTATTTATAATTTTTATTCAAAATCAACGTTGTAAGAATTACGATTTATTATATGAATCAGTATGAGTTACATTGTAAAACGTTATAAATAATAGTAAAATTTTTGTTTTCACTTTTTGACTTCCTGGTTTCAAAATCGGCGTTATTCTGAACCGGCGCAAATCGAGGGCTACCTGTATTTGGTCTAACAACATAAAACTATGGGAAGTACGTCATTCCAAAAGGGCACGATGCTGACGCCGGTACAAAGTCACATTTTGGTGTATCAACAATAATAATGGTTTCTTATTATTGCTTTGATTTACACTTCATTCAGGACAGGACCAAGTTCACACCATTTTTAATTTCTTAAACATATAATTTTTAAAATACAAAAATATACATTCTAATAATATTCTAGTAGAAAATAGTATTTGCTTAGCAGTTAATGGAACAAAATATACGAGTGTACATGCAACACGTATTTTCCATAATGAACACTGTACGTACATTAAAAATATTTGTATACTGAAAGCAAAAAGTTGAAGTGTTACATCACGAGGGCGGTAACATCCTGCAACACGATGATTTTTAAAGTTCATCTCTAGGATTCGTATCATCTTTGCTTGTGTCTAAACTGTTTGCCTTCCCGGCTTTATCAGATCTATGACAATTGCAATCCGCGTATGGCTTCTCTGGTTCAGGTTGTGCAACGTGATCCATGCCGTCCTGCACCTCCACTTTTTCTACCAGTCGATCACTCCATTCCTTAAAACAAATTAGCCAGTAAGATAAAACACAAATAACGCAATGATATGAAACAGTTTTCATATTTCACGGAGTCGGAAAGGAAAATACAGTTTGCAATTCTAATCAATTAATCTGAACTAATTTTAGTCATCTGTGGTCCAGAGGAATCATGCCGATATTAGTTCCCACGTTGGTTTCATTTCAAAACTGGAATGCAAGGAGTTAGAGTATTTAGATCGGATTTCACCGGTGATGGAAAATGAAAAAAACACTGAATTTTTCAATTATTTCAAGCCTTACATTTCAATATTCAGAACCCTCACGTGTTACCTCCTCGGGAACTTCACCTGAAGAAAATAATTCAAATTCCTCCTAATTCAGCAGCAAATGTTTTGACAGTCTACGCACGCACACATAAAACAAGTAACACTTTCTGGTTTGCAACGCCATGTTGACTGTACGTGGATCTGTCGACACGAATTCTTCTCACAATTTCTTATTAGACTTCGACTGAAGTTTAATACAAATAATTTACATGACAGTGTAAGTTATTGTAAGATTTTATATTCTTACAGTGAAGATGTCAACGCTGGCTTTCTGGGTGAGTGGTCAGCATCACGCCCTGGCCATACTTTACCCCTGGGAAAGTATATGGTACCCATTGGATAGGAGGCTGGGTGGGCCCCAGAACCAGTCCTGACTGCAGAGGCCAGAGGAAAAATCCTCTGCCCCCGTCAGGGATTGAACCCCAGTCATCCAGTCCATATCAAGTCACTATACTGACTGAGCTACCCCGGCTCATTATGGAGACACATTTTTTTCTCTTGCATACAGACTGAACTCTTAAACGTTACTTAGATGATCTTAGTCTTAAAAGGGTTAATTCTAATTGTGCCGTCTCAGCGGCCGCACGGTCTGAGGGGTGGGCCTTGTGCCGCTTGGTCTTTGGGACCGTGGGTTCGAATCCCACTCAAGCCATAGATGTTTGTCCGCGTCTTTCTGTGTTGTGCTGTCCTGCGTGCAGGTAGAGGCCTTGCGACGGGCCGATCCCTCGTCCAAGGAGTCCTACCGAATGTCTATAGATCGAGCCAACGAAAAGTTGGGACCCGCAGTGCTCAGGCACTTGAAGAATGGATCGTCAAAGTAAGTAATTCTAATTGTATGTACTTTTACATAAATATCCACTTTTAAATGTATTTTATACTTACTTTCAACAGTACTGCATGGTAGCAAAACACATCTTGAGGCATTAAATTTTCCTTGGCAAATTTTTGTCCAGTCCTTGCTATTTCTTGAGCTTCAGCATCATTGTCCTTTGCCCACCGAATTCTTTCGACCAAATCACTTAAATCACTTTTGAAGGGAATGTAATGTTTCCATGGTTGAAGTTCATTATAAAAATACTCATAATACTTGGAATCTTGTTTGAAAACTAAAGAATCACCTGCCAACAGGTAAGGAAACCTGTACGCTGACACTGTACCATCTACATTTATCTGGTATTTGTACTGAAAAATAAACAAAAAACAAAGCATGTAAGAAACTTAAGTCTAAAAGTCGGAAATTACGCCCAACCTGTATTTCTTTATGAAAAGCTCTGTGGCACTAAACATGGACTATTTTCGATGTTTTAAAACTAAATGAGAGAAGTTATGTGTAAAATGTAGTAACTGTGAATAGGAACAACAGAGAGTCATCCTCCAGTATATCACTCCTCTTATACCACCACCCTCACATTGCACAAATGAAAGCTTTGGAAAAGAAATTTTCTATGTAATTTCAAATGGAATCCCCCTGCTAGACACCATTATCTGTAGCACAACAAACGTGCCATTCTATAGCACCATACCATTTTGTTTTGACCTGCCATGGAGTAAAGTCCCTCAAATATTCAGTTGTAAAACAACTTCTATGTTGTAGGATTTAAGGTTTCCATAACGGTGAATTTGAAGATGGCTATTTTCTGGGTGGTTGTGCCCTGTAATATGGTAGAAGTGACCTCTCTCTGACGTAGAGGCACGCCCCCTTGTTCGTATCGGTTCCCATGCCCTCACCTAATTGCGACACCAGTTCCCACTGGTTCGGCCAAGGGTCTTCCTTGACTGTCAGTTTCCTATATCTCTAACCGTTTCCACACACGTGGCTTACTCATAACACTAATGATGGAGACAGCAAGGACATCTGAAACGTCGGTAAACTTCTACCAGACTACACGGTGCAACAACCCAGAAGACAGCCATCTTCAACTTCTGTGCTAACAAATAAAACCTACTGAGATAAGAAAGAACAAAGTGCACTGGGGAGGGAATTAGGATGTCACTCTGCATAAGCAGTGTAAATACTGACATTCCAAATAAAAGACATTACAATAAATAAATCTACCATTGGGAAGGGCGTTGGTTTAAAAATGGAAACATTACCGAGAATAATCTGTGTGTAGTAAATGAGTAAAAATCCAAGATTTATAATAGAACACTTACAGATCCATCCATTTTTTGAAACAACAGACAATACCATGGAAATTATAAAGACAGAAAAAAGTAAATACCTAGACACCCCAAATATATATCAAGAAATATTATATACGCTGCACACTGAAACATCTAAATGATGCTCAACATATAACCACAATCCTATCTTCAGCATCCTGTACCAGTATTACCAACATCAACAACTGCCCTAGCTATACAAACCACATCAGTTTTCCACAGCACAGTGTCGCACAGGTAAATGACGACAACAACAACAAGCGTGAGAATAACTACACCTATATATGAGATACCACAGGCATATAAAAAGTAATACACAAAAGAGTATGTATTATTACAGGCAACTTAATTAAATTAATATCCGGGAAAGAGCGCCTTTCCAATATCTACAACAGCCTGGAAACTAAAGAATATTCAAGCCACATGCACGTCACCACTGCTTCAACCAACAGATGAACATCAACCAAACAGGTCCAATACTAGAACCATAGTGATAATTTACATTACGTAAAACTCTGGTTTTATACTACCGAGGTTCTAATGCATTTTAAATGCAACTTTTTAATGACAAAAACAAGTATTCACTGGAAGTCTTATGGATTTTAATTAGTAAGTAATTACTGCAAACTTTTGCTCTGGTCCCTTTTTTTTCTCAATCCTCTTTTTCCCCGCAGACGTCAAGGTATATTTTATTCATTCACTAAATCTGCTGGACATTTAGTAGGACTCCTTGGACGAGGGATCGGCCCGTCGCAAGGCCTCTACCTGTACAAACACTGAAAGACGCGGACAAACATCCATGCCTTGAGTGGGACTCGAACCCACGGTCCCAGCGGCCAGGCGCGTCAGGTCCACGCCTCAGACCGTGTGGCCACATACAACTGTGATTACCTCAGAAGAGCTAACGTTACTTTATTAATAATTATAAATGCGAATAAGAAGTTTTAACATAGAAACAAACATTGCTTTAACATTTAATTAAAAGAATAAGAGACTGTTAACATATATACACACTGTCCAGTGATCACCAGCAGTGTAGCGTTAGATGAAGGTAATTGAAGACCTGAAGATGGACCTGTGGGCCCAAAAATGTCATATTAAACCAAATACTAAGACAGTAATAGATAGTTTTGTTGTGTAAAGATGGTCAATAATAATTTTTGAAGACAGCCACGGAGTTATAATCTGATCTTTCTGTTGAGGATATATGCAGAAGATAATTTGTCTGAACAGAAAAAATTTGTCCTGAAATTAAGAACTAATAATAATCTAAGTTTCTCTATGCATTGACAAGAAATAGCATAACTTGCAAGTACTCACATCAAAGAATTTAAAAAAAGATACGTGCTTTTCCTTAGGCCCATAGTACTTCTCTTGATCTCTGAAGAAAAAAAAGTTTGTAAGGGATGCATTGAAGAGATCTGGATGTTCACGTGCTATGTCAATCAGTTGTAGTCTCTCTCTACGAGAGTCTCTGCCCCTCCAAAATGCTTTCTCAGTTTTTTCATCCCATTTCTTGTCTATGTTTCCCTGGACTGACAGCATGTCAAGCATTACTCTAGGATAAAACAGAAAATGGAAAGGAAACAATTAATTTTATTCACAAAATGGTTAGTAATACAACTACTGGAACAAGATGCTCGGAGTTGTCTCATACTTGAGTCATGCATTCCTGAAAATAAAACACCTGCAAATATTCTAAAAATAGAAAAGTGTCCACATTTTTTATTCCATAAGAAATGTACATTATGACGATGCCTACCACTAAAAACAATCTCCAGATTTCTTTAGACATATGATCTATTTTAACACAAATGTAAGATTCCCAGAATAAAATAAATTTGCAATGAACTTTTATAACCAACTGCAATCTGACAACAGCTGCAAAGTGACATATAATTACAATATTCAGCATATTTATCTACATTATGGAGGTTTATGAATGATTTTTCTGAAGTTTAATTAGTCATTATTTAAGAAGTGCGAGGAATATTATCCACACAATTTACACTCTTATCAATGCAAATCAAAAAGAATTACTGCATGTTTTCTTATAAAAGTAATTAATAATTTTCATCTACAGGTAATGAACATCAAAAGTTGAAGATAAGGCTCTGCTGAGTGCCATCTTTATAGTTTTTCTCAGTATAGTCATCCAAATGCTGAAGTAGATAATAAAATAATGTCCCCTGCTGGTGAGGCATGAGTTTCACAGCTGAGAAGATGAAAAATGATGATCACAGTAATGGCATAAATTACATGTGAAAGTAGAAAAAGTGATGGCAATACAAAAGAAACTTGAGAACCCCCTTTGCCCCCCCATCCCCCAAATCACAGCATGGCCTACCGACATTTACAGGAGCTATTTTTGCAAATTTATTAATTTATTCAAATTTTGTAAGTAATTAAAAGGAAGAGTGAAGACCAACAGCAATGTCTGGGGGATATTGGACTTAGGACGTGTAAGAATTAAAGAAAACACATTCATCTTTCTTTGCCATCCATCTTTCCTCCTTCCCACTCCTTTTCTTATGTACCAGTAACACAACTTCTTAATAAATATACAATGAAACCTGATTTTCCCTGCAAAAGACTGAAATAAATAATTACTGAAGTTACAAATGGAAAGTACACAACAGCAACATCAAGTTATATTAACTTTACCAAAGATAATGTGCAAACAAATTAGTTCCAATACCATCATAAGACCAGATAACACACAAAATACTTAATGTTTTTAGATACACAGTTAAATTAATTCTTGGTTGACTGCATTATATTAATAAAAATTATACTGTAAGAAGAATATGAATATTTTACCTTCCCATGCATTCTAAGGTGGCTTCTGTAATGTCATAAGTTGGCATGACAATGTCAAGGGTATCATTTGACCCACACCAAGAGAACAATGGAATGCGTGGTTTCTGTGTTACACTTGCAAGCGGCCAGTCACCTAAGTTGAAGAGCATTTCCATATCCGGAAGATAAACCTTCCGAGCCAGCGACAAAAGGATGGCATCCAAAAACATTTTAAATCCAACATATTGACCATAACACTTCCTATACACCTAGCAATAGAACAAAATAAAAATAAGAGAATTAAAATTACAATATCATTACCATGAGACAAAAACTTTAAAAGGTGTGGTAAAATTACATTTCTAAACATGTCAATCAACAAACTGACTTCTTTGGTCAAAAAGGTTTACTGTAAATGTTTAAGTTGTGGTCAATTAATCAAGCCATGCACGTTCGGCAACATCTAGCATCACTTCCATTCGATGCTACACTGCTACAATTTTTGACATTTTTTAAGTTTGTTCTAGTCTCATCTACAGATGATGGTTTCATTATACTGACAAATTTTTATTTTACATGCTCACTATTCCAGTCTGGTAGTTACAAAATTAGTATTCAGAGGTGTCTGTCAGTGGTAACGAGTCACCTTAAGGCGGAATGTAGGCCAACTCCTAAAACTCCTAAAACAGTATTTACTACGGACAACATAAGTGCAGTATAATGCGTCAACTGATGTTACAAACCTTTACAAAATATTTATATGAAAAACGCCCAATATTGTGACCTTTCTTCCATAAATACCATCACCATGCACATCAGCACAGGTTGGCTAGAAGTACCAGTACACATGTCTCAACCCCCAAAATAAATGTTACCCACTATAACAAACAGCAATTTACGTCTAAAAACCTCAGGAATACGTGGGTTGCGCCTGATGGAGTAATCAAGCCTATATATCAGTCTTGGCAGAGGATTTCATCTGTAGTCATAGAAGCAGCAGTAGTAGTAGTGGACATTTAGGTGCATCAGCTACCCTGGCTATTTGTGCATTTCTACTAGTTTGGCGCATTATTTACAAGTAGGTCGTAACACTCGATAAATATTAATATTTCATACACATGTTAAAATTTCAGTATCGTTGCCCAGCATATCTTTGACGGTGCTTAGCAGGTGAAAACCTCTGACATTTGACAGTGTACCTCGGGCAGTCTACGAGGATGTTTCTAAAGCTAAGTTCTGCATTACAAGGGGCACACATGAAGGTGGATTGCCACATAGGAGGCTGTGTGTGAGGTGGGTGTGGCCAATCGTCAGGTGAGTCACCACAATCTCATCCAGGCAGATGAGGCAACGAGAAAACCTACAAAGGAGTGTCACTGGTTTAACTTCTTGTAATTTGTTCCCTTATGTGGTCCCAGTCTTGCTGCCATTTTGCTAGAATGCATCGATGGAGTGTAATGTTAAAGTCAAAGCTGGGGACACCAGGCACTATGGAATCTTGAGCCGTGGTGTCTCTGGCAGCAGCATCCACCGCCTCATTAGCGTTGATAACTACATGGCCTAGTACCCATAACTAAGTAACTAACTAACTAGATGGCTTACTGAACCCGAAGGTTCATCACCTAATTAACCAAAGCCCTCCACCGGACCCTGTCCTGGGCCAACAAAATCCAGCCTCCTTCAACTCCTATCTCCCAATGATACTGCCTGACATTATCCTCCCATCTACGTCTAGGTCTCCCCAGCGGTCTCTTCCCCTCACGCTTCCCAGCCAATACCCGGTGCACACCTCTTGTCCCATCCATGCGCTCTGCATGCCCTGCCCATCTCATTCTTCTCGTCTTAATCACCCTGACAATATTGGGGGAGGAGTACAGAGTTTTAAGTTCATCCTAGTACCCATACTAGTGTTATTTTAAAATTCTGTTTAGAGAGTGTGTGGGAGGTAGTACACAGCTCCAAGATAAGTGAATGTGTTAGGTCAGGAGACTGTAGGCTTTGGGCTCCACAAAAATGGAAAGAAAAAAAAATCATTCAAGGGAGTGTATCTTAAAGAATGGCAGAGTTTGTAACTCATACAATAACCAAACAACCAATACTTCAACATTACCTGGTTCTGTTTTATGACATAATTGCAGATACTCATACTGCCTGGATGATTAAATTTCTGGAGTGCAGCCCCTCGAAGCTCGGTGAAATTTACATTTGGAAATGGCCTCAAATCTGAGATGATTTGATCATAGGAACTTTTGCAACCAAATGATTTCAACCAATCAGAAACTGACTTTACTGGGCAGTAACATCTATCAGCATAAACAGGACCTGCATATGTAATAAATAAATAAGACATTAAAACCATGTAAATACAAACCAAGCATATGAATGCAATAACATAAGTGCGTAAAATGAATATACAATATTCATCAATCCACATGTTTCACCTTCATAATTGCTCATAAGACACAAGTTAAGTTAACTTTTGGGAGAATTATACTAAGAAGCTATTAGAGGAATTTATTTATGTTACATTGTGGCCCATTTTAACACTATTTTACAAAACCTAAAGCTATCCCACATTAATGTCTTTCCGACTTTAAAAAAATCATACAAACAAGACTGGTAAGACGTACTCTTCCGAGTACATAAAAGTTCCAAAGGTCTTCTATATGTCAAACATCAGTTAATCTTACATACATGGTGTCCCACAACATGTCTATCAAATTCTAAGTGCATGATCATTGGCTTATTTGAAGTGAAACACGTCATCTCAACACAGGTAAAAATCTGAACTGTTAAGAATGATTGGATGGATGGAATGAGAGGAAACTCAAAGGCACACACTGAATGAAATTATTCCAACTGAAGAAATAAATAAGCTACATTAGTTTCTTACTTACTTCCTTGGCTCTACAACCCAGTTGTGGGTCTTCACCACCTCCTTTCAGAGGTTTCTTAATCTTTGAAGTGTGCATTTGTGAGTAGTGAGTGACCAGCCCACTGCCTCTGCACAATTTCTATTCAATCCTGATTTTTGTCTGCTAGAGCCATCTAGTAGTGAATCAGGTGATACATGGGTAAGAAATTGCCACTGAATTTTGATTACAAAACATTTTATTCATGCTCATAAGGTTCTTTTGCATGCCATAAATCCACGACATTGGAAAGGTGATGGCGAAAGTTGGAATTGAAGTAGAGGTTAGTGTGCACAGGTTTGCAATAAGCCTTATGGCCCCTTGGCTCCCTTGCCCTGGCCTGAAGCTCACCTTATTCCCTTCTGGTCCAGCAACGGCTGTGACTTGACTGACTGGTTCCTATACCTCAATTCGATTATCCGCACTCAGCTTACTCATCACCCTAATAATGAAGGCAGCAAGGATATCTGAATCATCAGTAAACTTCTGCCAGACTATACCACACAAACGAGAACACAGCTAAATTCATACCTACCACAATGAGAAAATCAAATCCTTCTAAATAACATTAGTTTACCTTCAATTATGTATGGTGAAGCTCCAACATCTACACCTTTATACATGATACGTATCTTGAAATTGTGACATGTATAATAGGTTTTGTATCTTACTATGAAACTTCCATCTTTTCTGTCCAAGGTGTTTATCCAGATTCTGCAATTTTTATATGAAGAATCTCCTGTTATATTCACTTCAAACACATCTCCAGGGGATTTCTTTAGCCTGTCAAAGGATTTTAATTATATTAAAATTACTTGAAAACTGAAGAGGCCTTTGACTTCAATAACTGGTTCCTTAAAAGAAAGTATAATACAGATACTCAAACATAATTACACCACTATGAAAACAACCACTTAATTTAAGCAAGTCTTGCAGTTTGTTGGATTGCATTGGTGTTAAACAGCTTTCAACGTCTAAATCACACAGGAGAACGACAATAGTCCTGGACTACTGCAAGTGAATATCCTGCTCACCGCTGTGGGAACCTCAAGTCTTACATCCTGGTATTGCTTGTTGGACCTGAGCAAGACCACAGGAAACCTTAATCGGGATTCCATCCATAGGCCTTGAATAAATAAATATTTATTCTGTACACATTTTACCCCATTTTATTTTGCTATATCACAGGTGTTTCAGAGATAACATTACTACCGTTAAAACAATATGCTTAATGAAACATGCCGATGATGGAAACATTACTATTTACACCTCACCTTCAGAAATGAATTCAAATCTTTTTAATGGAAGAATACTTTCTACATCTCCGATAGTTCATAATCATTCATACACACGATGTTAAAGAAATTGTTGACTGTAAATATTTTCAAAGGAAATTACTTTCCAATACAAACACATAGCATATCTTACATTTGTCTATGCTCATCCACTGCTTGGATGTAAAAATATCGAGCTGGCATCACAATTCGGTCTGGAAATAATCCGGGTCCCCATATTTGACACTCCGCGGGGTCAACAACTGAACCTTTACTATAGCTTAAGGGCACACCTTCCAAAACAAAATATAACAGTACTGAGAAAAACATTTTACAGAATATGGGATTATAACATTACTTCTAAACTGAATACAGTTTTCCCAGAAAACAAACAAAGCGCTACTGCGTTAACATAAATTTATACTTTCAAAAACGCAAACAAAATATCTATCAAAGATTATATAACAGAAAATACCAACATACACATCAGTAACTCATTGTTGAAAGTTGGCAACAATTAATGGTTATGACGTAACTACATGTCCTCCAATCTATCTGCACCTGTAGTAAAACTACTGTAACAATGATCTGGTGGCCAATCGGTAACAACGTTAACTGTCATCCCACCCCCCCTTGATTACCGTAGGAGCAATTAATTTTAAAATCTGAAGATGTCTCGTTCAGTGCCACCCCTGTCCCATCTGACCTCTGCTCCCAACTAAATCTAACTTATACCTTGTTTCTAATGAACCTGCCCTATACAGACTCCTTGCTTTCCATGTGCCAAATCTCATGTCTATTTTCTTTCGCAAGTCATGACCCAGAACCTGTACCTTTCGCTGTATACGTACTGTATATAATCCGTGATAAATCAATTGGTTCATGCTGTCTGTGCTCGCTAATTTGTTCAAGGTTAATTTTGACGAGTTGGTTATTTAAATGTCGAAAGTGGGAATGACTAATATACTCGAACTAGATATTATTTGTGAATCTGATTCATATTCAAAATGTTCACATATGTATGAAGTATCTTTTGCAAATACCGATATGCAGTACAAGGACTTTTTTAGGCGATACTTATATGAAAATAGGCCTTGTGTTGTGCGTGGGCCAGTAACTGAAAGTTGGAAGAGTGCAAACGAATGGGTTGCTGATAATAAACCAAACTTTGCATATATCTGTCGAAAGTTTGGTATGGGTTTGCATTTGCCTTTCAGTCACTAAGAACCTACCTTAACCTTACTTTGTTACACACTAATTACTACATGATTTTTATGCATTTTTTTGAATGGTATATCAAATTTACCCTGGATAGCAATAGATTTTGGTGATAGAAAATTGTTTGTATCTTATTTCAAATTGTATGTGCATGTCAGAGGATGTCATTGCTAGCTTGAACAAATGGATTAAAGACAATAAACTCACATTAAATTTTGACAAAACAAATTTCATAGAATTTTATATTACCAACAAAAATTGTGTTAATCTTGATATAAAGTATGAGGATAAATAATTGTGGCAGAAATAAATAAATTTCTTGTCCTACAAATTGACAAACTTGAATTGGAAAACACATTCATTACATTGTGACTAAACTAAGCTCAGCATACTTTACTGAGGACTCACATCACTCATATTTGTATTAGAAACAGGTATTTTATTTGTGTTATGTTCTACATTCTTAGCTTGGGCAGATGAAGGATCTATGGAATGTAAATGAATTCTATTCCACACGATTTAACACATTTCCTATATACTTTCTGTACATATGTAAGTTTGTATATATCTATTATAAAGCACTTGGTAATCTCCTGTGTTTTATCTGTCAGACTCATTTGTAATTGAGAACAGCCGCAAACATGTATGTCACGTAGTTTGGTCACAAAAATATAAAATCCTGTATAATAAATACTAGTACTGTACCTGTATGTAACAATAATGGTGATGAAGGGAAGTAGTTTTATCAATGATTTTAATATTTCTTAATTCTTTCCTTAGGATTTTGTGGCTGGAGTTCAGCGTGTAACTTTGACTTTCAGGTGTGAGCCACATAAAATGTTGAATATTAAATTTACCTTGAAGATGGTAACTGCAGTGTTTGCTGAAACATTGTTTGATGTGACTGACACATGAAAGCCCAAGTTATATAATTCTTAATTGATTTCCTTCCTGTAGGAAATGTAACAGTTCCAGTAGCAAACTGTGATGAAAAATACTATAATGTTCAGAAAATACGTGATATACAGTTATGTGACTATCTGAAGTACTGGCAAGATTACAATAGTAAATGTCACTCAGATTTACCATGTTTGTATTTGAAGGTATGCATACACATTATGGCATGGGGGTGTTTGCATTTTCATTTAGATTACATATTCTTTAACATTAATTGAATATTCTTGTGTTTAAAGGACTGGCATTTCACTCAGGATTTTCCTGAAGAGAATATATATAGAGTTCCAAATTATTTTGCTTCTGACTGGTTGAATGAATATTACAGTGCAAGGACAAGCATTAAAGATGATTACAGATTTGTGTATATGGGACCGAAAGGATCATGGTATGATATCATTTTATATTGAAATAAAATTTGTATATACGAAGGAATATTTTCATAGTAACAAGATATAAACCTGTATGTTCTTGGGGCAAAACACGTGGATGAAAGTGCTTGTGAAGTGCCAGTAATTTGTGGCGGATGTATAAAAACGGATAGCAAAAATGAGGCATCTCGCTGTCTAAGTGGATCTACTGACAGCAAAACTTATTCGTGCTAACATACATTTAAGATACTAGAATTTAGCACCATAAAAATTCATGTAAATTGCTACACTGACAAAATGTGCATTGAGGTCTTCTGGGTTGTGATACCATGCTTACCACCTCAAATCTCGGATAAAGATACAAATGGTGCATTTCATCTGTTGTTTTATATTATAAACAAAAAGAATTTTCATAACATATTCTGAAGTGAAATTGGGAAGTAGTGCAAATGAAATTCCTTGTTTTAGACTTCAGTATTTTTAATTTTAAATGTACCAGACAAATATGTACGTGCATTAGACCAAGGTTTAGTTGACATTACAAATTATGTTGATGTTCTGGGGTGTATTCCTTTTCTTGAATTTCATTTAGATATCAGTGTTTCTCTGTAATGACACTGACAATAATTAGTATGTCTGTTTTATGAGTTAGTGGAAATTAAAACACACAATACAGATAGGCAGACAGAATATGCACGTTTCACTGAAAATTGACCAGTATCTCAAATTAATTTCAGCTGTAATAACTTGTGGAAAATGTAGTGGAAAGAGCCTGTAGTTTAGCAGATTCCTTGGGTTTTGCTAATAAGTTGGTTTACAAGTGTCATTGGCTTCTTATTTTCCAAATGTTGGCATAACCATTTACATAACAGCCTGAATCATATGACAATTGGGGATGTAAAATCCTGTAATATGAAGTTACCACTCAGACTTTAACTCTGGGGTTGAATGGTTTAGTAGCATGTTACTGCAACATGTGGCTAATTTGACTTCCCACATGCTGTAAGAAGTTAAACTTGTTAATTTTATTCAAAAAATGTTAATTGACATTATCTTAAAACATTAAATATTTTTATAAAAAATAAACATATAGATAATTTTCTTTCATTAAAAAAATAATTTGACATTATTTTAGGACACCTTTGCATGCAGATGTATTCACTTCATTTAGCTGGTCAGTGAATATCTGTGGACGGAAACGTTGGCTGCTGTTTCCACCAGGGGAAGAAGTCTGTCTTCAGGACAGATTTGGGAAGCTGGCATATGATGCCACAGCCCCAGAATTAAATGATGAAAAAATATACCCACGATACAAAGAACTCTGCAACTGTGAAGAGATTATACAAGAACCTGGTGAAGCCATTTTTATTCCATCAGGTTGGCATCATCAGGTGTGGAACTTGGTAAGCATGTTAAAATCCACTAATGAAGAACTAATGATGTATTTTCAATATGATTTCATAATTACCTAAATACTTTGAAGATGGCTGTCTTCTTGATTGTTGTGCTGTGTAGTCTGGTAGAAGTTTACCAACATTTCAGAGGTCCTTGCTGCCTCCATCATTGGGGCGCCCTAATGATGGAGGCAGCAATGACTTCTACCAGACTACACGGCACAACAACCCGGATGATGGTCACCTTCAGACTCTCCACCGTGAAAGCCTCAAAACTACCTAAATTCTTTGTTTGTATTTTAGGAAGATACAATATCAATAAATCACAACTGGATAAATGGCTGTAATATTAAGACAATGTGGACCTCTCTAAAGGGCAATCTCATGGCTGTAAAAAAGGAAGTGGAAGACTGTAAAGATATGGAAGGATGGAATGAGCATTGCCAACTAATGCTACAGGCAATGTTTGGCATGAATTATGAGGAGTTCTATTCTTTCTTGACTGCTATTGGTGAAAGAAGACTAGATGCTTTGAGGGACAATAAACCTCTACTTCTGTTTGGTAATTGGCAGTTAGGAAGAAATCATTTGCTGTTTGATCTAATGCAAGTGAAGAAAATTTTAATCGCCTTTCTTAAAGATACTGACACTTTGAATCTGAATATTTTTAAGAACTTGGATGACCAACCAGAACTAATGAAAGAATTTGACCATTATTTCTTATAAATGCATTTATTTGTATTGTTTCCTTCACCTTCAGGTCCAAATGATGCAGGATCATTTGTGCCCTGTAGTGAATTCTGTCATCTCTGTAATGAGAATAAGCTAATAAAAAATAACCTTAATGTATGGTAAAAATCAAGTCACACAATAAATGATGCTCTAAGAACAATTGTGAGTGGTTTGTTCAGTAAAACAGAGATGCAAACAAACATATTAAAGAGCGTTCAAGTACTAAAAATATGGTGTTCACACCTGAAAGTAGATGGCAGTGGTTACCAAGGTGGAAGATGATGCAAGGTAGCCTGCACTTCATGTTTAGCTGACTCAGAACTGGAGTACAGACATTTTAAAAATGCAAACTTTGTTATAGGTCTTGATGTTAATGTACACTAATACAAATGTAGTGGAACTGATCATTTGCTCCTTCATATATTTAAATGTGTAATATCGTGAATTTAAATCTTATATTGAAATTCTCTGACCTCAGTGATCTTACTTCAAGAGTCATATTTATTTGCATTTCAGTTTCTACATCCTGTTTTAATTATGTGCAGGATTTAAATCCTGAATGAATCTGTATTAACATTAATTTTCTTTATATCTTCAGTTATCAATTGAAGTTACTATTTGTTCTTTTCCAATAACTTGTTCATTATAATTTTGCTTCCATATCATAACTCCAACATCAGAAAGAAAAATTAACATCACCAGTCTATTCCAATCCATTCCATTATTTTTTATACAATATGTCTTGCTGGGTTGTGCAGGGTTAGGTTGGTTTGGCGAGGTGAAAATAGGATGGGGGTGGTGGGGTCATTTTGGGTTTGGATAAGTTGCATACGGGTTGATGGTTTGGTTTGGGGTCCTTGTTTGATGGGTCGGAGTGATGAATGTATGGGTACCCTTGGTGGGCAGGGATGGTTTATGTTTGTTGGAAATGGGATCAAACAACTCCCATTGTTGGAACATATTACTTATATCACGCGAAGACAAGTTATCTAAGTTCTACAGAAATGCATGAAAGTCTATTATATTAAAACGGACCTCAAACGAGCAGTAAGGTCTATGTGCTACGTCCAACTGGCTTATTGTATGCTCCGATGGTGACACTAGTGAATACGATAATGGATATTATAGTTGCATAACAGGCGGGAATTTTGTTGAATAACTACGAGATTTTTTTTTTTTAGTGTTCTGTCTGACGACAGGTCCCTATGAACAGGATCCTTCCATCCTTTTCACGGATTGGGACCTGTTCATATACGTTCTTGGCAGATGATCCAGAAGTGGTTTGCCATTGCCTTCTTCTGTGTGTGAATGGAGTAATTGTTGGGATGCCACGGAGAAACCGGGGAAGCCCCCGGAGGAAAACTCCGTGTTGCCTGGACCACGGCCTTGCCCAACACAAGTTATAAATTCGGGCACCGCTGGGAATCGAACCCGAGACCCCAGGATTACAAGGCCAGCGTTCTAACCGCTAGACCACTGTGGCTCTTCTTATATCATATTAAGTAAAAAATAATGTGAAAGAAAATTTTGGATAACACATATGAGCATGCATCTGATCAAGCATGGGCTGCGATAAGGACATGATTTAAGAATGAATGAAGAAAGAATTCCAAAGAAGGTCTTGGACATGAAATGGAAAATGCACGAGGGGAACAAGATAGAAAAGATATCATGCAGCAGGTGGGAAGGAAGAATGTGGAAAGACCTGGTTGTCAGACAGCCCACATGAAGTGAATAAGAATGAAGTATCGAACATCCAGGTAACTCAAAATGACACTTTATTTTAACCACATCCATATCCTTTTAGGAATACATCAGACAAAGTGAACAGAAGAACGGTAACCCTCCTTTTGATTATAAATTGTATATCAAATTTGTGATATTCGTAATACTCTGCATGTGACATATTTGGTACATTGATGCAGATTACCAAGATTTAAAATCTTTCAAATATGTAGATCTATTATTTTTAAATCATCTTTATTAAAGTTTTGATCTGTTTATAGCAATGACACCTTCACGTTCTAATTGTTGAATTTCTTGCACAGTATAGTCATTATCAATGAGTATTTCAACTGTGTGTTGGCCATGCTGTGATCTAGGTTCTGTTGCCTTGGTGGAAGGTGGTGTTCTGCTGAGACGAGGAGCTGCTGCGGGTACAGGGACATCATCATCTGCGTATGTTACAAAAGAATTCCTTTCGGCATTGTGAGGATGTCTGGAGACATCATTCATTGACAGCACAGGAGTTACACAAGCATCAGTTCCATCAAATATCTCACACCATTCTTGCTGTGTGTGTTCTTTAAATCTTTTTGTGAACAGTTCTTGATGAGCTTCAAAATTCTCCATCTGTGGCACCTCTTCATCAGAAAAACCCAACCCATGTAGAAGTTTTGAGTAAAACTGTGGTTCCAAAGCTCCTACTGCCATGAACTTACCATCTTTGGTTTCATATGTATCATAGAAATGTGAACCAATATCCAATCTACAGAGAGAGAGGTTATATTTACTTAAATTCTTATAAATACTTATGTTCGTGCATACGCACACTTCTATCTGCATATTAAGATTTTAAATTATATTATATGACTAAATAAACTAATTAGATATGCATTCACTTATAACTACTGCATCAATGGATACAGGACATACACACTTTGAAATAAAACAGCTACTTCACTGTAAACTTCTGTCTGGGTCTACTTTAATATCAGCAAAACTCATATGGACAAATATCTATTATTGACCTTTCATTTGTGTGTTTTAACACCACATTTATACATGCTGAAATTATATGTTACTATTCATTTTGGGGCCATTCCACCTCAATTAAAAAGTGATGGAAAAATCATTTGCTCTCATTATCACCAAATTCTGAACAACTTCATATGCAAAAAGTGTAGTCCCTTCAGAGATAGCATGGGCATTTTGAGTGTGTTCTGTGAGATTCTTCCCAAGGTTTGAATCATTAGTTACGTGTGCATGCTCTTACCTTAAAATTGTAGAGCTGTGAGAGTACTTATTCCTCTTAGGTGCCAATTAAATGATGTATTTCAGGCCAAAACACCAAAAAGTTTCACATTTTTCAAAAGCTATTATTAATACCCACGCAACATTTAAGTCCACAGGCACAGACAACACAATCACGGCTCTCCATAGACCAACAACGGAAACCTCAACTTAGGCCAGTGGACATAAATCTAAGTAACTGAATTTAGACAACACACCAACTCTGTGGTATTACGTAAAGTATGGTTTTATAAAGTGCAACCTTTTATGCTTCAGAACAAACCATGGTCTTATGAATTGTATGATTTAATATGAATTAATTTGTTTGCCACTGATGATGAGGTCTTGAGGTCGAAACGCGTTTGGCACTAAGTGCCTTTTCAAAGTGTAAACAGTTTTGTTTGTATGCATGATTTTTATATATTTAGAACCAACGTATCCTTCATGTGAGGTGAATGCACTTACATATTACATTTAGAGACGGTTATTTCAGAGTAGAGTAGGAATGTAATGCTGAATTTTGAGTATACTGTTTACCATATGTCAATACAATGCCAAGTGTGAGAGCTATCAGACCTGGGTAGGTTTGGTGTGCAAATGGGCATTTTTCACATTATACTGAAACTGCATCTTATTTCACCTCAATTATCTGAAGCTGAAACTTCAGTGTTGATATTTCTCTCATCCTTTAGGTGGTAATGCATATACAGTTTCATACTCGCACATGTTAACAATTCTAAGATACGTAACACCACAAACATCCTTTTCTGGCTAGCTTATGGTTTCAATTAAAATACATCCTCAACTCTCTTAACAATAAGTTAACTTTCACATTCACCCTAACTGGCATCCTTACTAGTACAGTCACCTCCTTATAAGATACCTAGGGTAAACATTTGTTCTTTTTGGATTTTTGACAATATTGTGCTATATAATCATAGTGACAACTTACTGGTATTTTATGTTTTTCTTTACTGTCACATTTATCTGCATTTCACATAAACTGTATATCTGTAATCAATTTTTAGTTGTGCATTTTTCATTTCAAATATTACGTTCTTGTATTCTGGATTCACTGTCTTCATAATCGTGTTACGTGCTTTGCTGTATATACGACATTCAATAACAATAAATGTTGATTCACTGCTCAAATAAAGAACAAATGAATTAAATATGCCCTAAAATTTTTCTTACAGATCTACAAATTCAGGGTAAAATAATGTAAATCTAATCAAAATTCCAGTTACTACCATGTTATTATTTTAGAGTTATTACCATGTTAAATTTGTGAAAACAGCATATGCAACATTGTTCTTTTGTGTATATTTCATGATAATTAATTATCTGTGAAATGGTGATATCGGGGAATCACACTGATCGTGCAAAACTTCATAAGGAGTTCACATTAATACTGACAAGTGTCACTAAATTCTGTAACAGTTATGCCACAGCCATTTGTTGACTTGACATGGAATGACCCACTGATCCCTTTGAATGATAGTGCATTTGAGTACATACATGTTTTCTCCACGTGGCTTTCCCCAATATGGATGTTTCTGTGAACGAAATATCCAGCTACCAAGGTAGGCTGATCCTTCCACCATGTTGGCATCCACAACCTGTCCACAACCCGATGTGGACCTTTCAAATAGTGCCATCATAATCCCAAGAGCACAAAGCAAACCACCTCCAGCAAAATCACCCAACAGATTGACAGGTGCAGTTGGCTTCTCAGTTTTACGACCAAGAATTGACAATAATCCTAAACAATTAAAAATTACCTTATTTTCTGTGTGAAACATTCATCACATTTTCTTATTAATGATATACACAAAATGTAAATAGTAAACCCAATGTTACATTTCTTGAAAATGCCAGAGTTGGCAAACCCAAGAATGACAAATTTTACTATTTAACGGTGAAGAAATAGGGTGTGAGACTGGTAGAAAGTAATAGCAAATATTTCTGGATTCATGTATAATATGTACTTTTATACACATTCTTCATTGCAGTTTCTAGAAGGAAGAAATATACTTTTCCTCCAGAAAACTACATTATGTTTCAGTGTCTTACATATTTACTGAAATTATGATAGAGAAATAAGTAAGAAATAGTGTTTAAATGAAACTTTAGTAGACTGTAATTAAAGCGGAAACTGATTTCTGAAAGATATGTTCATTCCTACTGACATGAGTAACCCTTCTCAGTTTCTTGTTCAGCTGTCAATCAAACAATTGATACAAGAATGTGTTAGAAGCAGCATGCCATCTTACAGCATTATCTTTAATTTTTCTTTTGTTATATATTATTAATATATGTAATCCTCGGATGATTTTCTACCTCTCTTTAGATGCATACCTGTAACTGTGTGATGTTCTTTGAATTTCTATCCTAGTATGATAATTCATTCCTATGGAAGAAGGAACTGTCTAGCATCGAACAGTTTGCATCATCTAACTTACGGTCAACTACTCCTGTTACATTCTCAACATGACTTCATGTAACTAGTACTACTAAAATTTAAATACACCCACAATATGAAGGTAGAAGAAGAAAAGCTCAGTCAGTATAGTGACTTGGTACGGACTAGACGACCGGGGTTCGATCCCTGATGGGGGCAGAGGATTTTTCCTCTAGCCTCTGCGGTCAGGCTGGCTCTGGGGCCCACCCAGCCTCCTATCCAAAGGGTACCAGGGTCCTTTCCCAGGGATAAAGCGCGGTTGAGGTTTGACACTGACCACTCACCCCTATCTAGTGCTAAAATTAAGAATGAGTAGCAGCTATACAAAGCTGTTATAGAGAAGGAATTCTGGTCTAACAGTCAAACTCAAAGACACAGTATTATGCATAAACCATAAAATAACAAAAGAATTATAGTCATGCAATGTTACACACAGAAGGAAAAATAGTTTGTTGGTTTATATGCTATTTCAGTGCAAAAGAACAAAAAGACAAACAAATTAAACTAGAATTATGAATTTTGTTTGTTGTTGATTTTGACGTTCTTTAATTGCCTTTATTCCATGTTCAGTATGCATACAACGCAATCTCTCTTCATATGATACATGTATTTGTAATCACTGCTTTTGATTGACATAATGCTCAAAATTGCTGAGGATGGCAACATAATTAAGAATATGGGTGTAAATAATGCCATTCTCTAGCACAAGAAGTGTGAAATGTTATTCACTGTTAGTGTTCAATTTTCAGTTGTATAAGAACAAATGTGCACATATATTCCTTAATTTATTGAGCCATACCAATCCAATGACCTACAGCATCACTTAAATTTTGTGAGGGACAAACCATTTAAAATCCCCGCATGAGAAATTAAAATATGATGACTATACTGGAACAAAGTCTGATTAATTTAAAAACAATTCTGTAAGAATAAACGGAGTTTCTTACCAGAAACTGCTATAAAATTTATGTCATGTCCAGCCATATTTGAGTACTTCCCATACTGGCCGAAACCCGTTAATCTAGCATATACCAATCGTGGATTATCTTCAAGAAGAATATCTGGGCCAAGACCCAGTTTCTCCATAACCCCTAAAAAAATGTATCATTAAAACTTCTGCATACAGCATCTGAAAATGTCATGACAAATACAAGTAAATGAAATAAAGAAAACAATACCCTTTCTGAATGGTTCAATGAGTACATCTGATTTCTTGCATATTCTGCGGATTATTTCAACACCTTTTGGATGTTTCGCATCAACAGCCAGAGACTTTTTCCCATTGGCTAAACAATCAAACTCCAGATCTCCTTGAATCTAATTGGAATAACACATGTTGGTATGTTAGTTTTAACTTAAGAAACAAAAGACAAATGACAATTTGAGTTCATCAGTATCTCATATTACTGGGTGCAAATCTGTCATAATTGTAGCTTTTATATATCATATTTATTTGTTATACACTATGGAAAAGCATTTTTCATCATTTTAATTTTGTTTTTCTCAAGCTCAGATCATAGTCTGTTTTGTATGCAGATCTAAATACTTCTATACTTCCATCAACATCTGTAATTTACCTTATCAACTCTCATGACAGTTGCACCAAAGTCTGCCAGTATCATACCACAGAATGGAGCAGGTGCAAGACCTGCCATCTCCACAACATGAAGACCTCGCAAAGCCATTAATGCACGTTTCACACAAATGTTGTACCTGCCCATAAACCTTCAGTATATTTTAAATTAAGCTTAGTGGCACACTAATCATAACTTTCAACACAAGTACAAGAACATATATCACATATCAATGTACATAAACTTCAGATTCTGCAATACAAGTATGAAAAATAATTTTACATATTAATATGCATAAACCTCAGAATTTTAAATAGAAATACAAAACTTGCTTTACATATAGATTATAGATATATGTAAAGCTTAAAAAATTTCAGCAGAGATGAAACCATCTACAGAATAGAAAGAGTGAAGAGGTAATCTTTCAATGCAGGCTTGAATACCTTTATATCATAATTTAGACTTGGTTGTATTGATTTAACTTGTGAGCTATGTATTTGAAAGATGTGACCTATGTCAATGTTTTGACCAAGTAGGATGAATAAAATTGAGTTGAATATTTGCATGTCATAAAACTAGCTCTTGGTCTCACTACTTCATTGGCATTGTACAATTTCATAAGACTGATTACAAAAATTATCAGGGAATCGACTCCATCAATGCATTGTTTACTCAACACCTTTTGTTTGATCAACTATCCCCACACCTACTTTACTTCACAACGTAACAATTACTCTTGACATACATACGCTTTTGGTTCTCCTACATCACAGTTCATAGCACAGACTATATAAACATATGGTCATAATTCATATGTGGTAGGTAACAAAGAGGAAGCATTGAACGGAATGCTGGTATTTGACAGATCCCTCGGCTGTGATGTTCAAACCCTTTTATATCGCCCCAACATCCTGGCAATGGGACTGGGACCTCACACAAGGGAACAAATTATGAGAAGTTAAAACAGTGACACTCCCATGGAGGTCTTCCAGTTGCCTCATCTACCATGGAGAGGTTATGATAACCAACCTGAGGATTGAAGATTTCTGTCTTCTGGGTTGTTGCGCTGTGTAGTCTGGTCGATGTTAACCAACGTTTCAGAGGTCATACTGCCTCCGTCATCAGGGCGATGAATATGCCAATAGG